GTCTTCCTCGTTGCTGCTGCCTCCGCCTCCCCTTCCTCTCCCCTCGGCCCGTGCGCATTGTTTCTCATTCGTTTTTCTACCTTTGGTAAGGGCGGCTGGCGCAGCCGGGGCGGGGAGGCCCGGGCTTGCTCTGCGCCTCTGGAGGCCTCAGCCGGGCTCTGCGCCCGCGGCCGCATTTCGGGGGCTTTCACAGCCCGGCGGCTCGGGTGTCTTCGCAGAGGCAGGTGAGACGGGCTGTGATGGCGCGTCGACCTCAGATGGCCCCACCGCCGCCCGGCTGTGTGATCTTGGGTAAGTCTCTTAATCTTTCTGAACCTCGACGGGGGTAAAAGTCAGGGGATTTAGGGAGAGTGATGGGAGATGACGCCTTTTCATTCGTTTGGGGAGACGGGTTGCCTGCTTTGGGGCCTAAGGAGGAAATGAGGTTCGCGGGAATTGTAGGTCTGAAGTGGCTATTTATTTTAACGAATATTTCGGGAAGCAGCTAGTAGCCGTTTTTAATTTTTATTTTTTACAGCCGACGGGGTGCCAGGCATTAGAAACCTTCTCTCCACTCCTGACAACGTCTCCGTTTTACCCAAGAGGAAACTGAGGTTAACATAACACTGCGCTGGCCAGCGCCGCAGGTGGGGCTTGAACCCAGATCCAGCGGGTAGGCGCCGTTGAGTTGAAGTAGAGCAGCCTCCTCCGGGCCTGGAAAATTGAGCCCTCGCCTCTGGCTGCGACCTAAGCGGGGGAGGGTGGGGGGAAGGGTGGGGCTGAACCTCCTAGGGTTCCCCGTTTTCCGCGCTGGGAAAGCTTTGACATTCTTATTTCCAGGTAAACGATTTGGGCGGCTCCCAGAGAAGGTTAGAAACGAGGCCCAAATAAGGCACTTCTGGCTAGTTCCGCGAGGGCACCTGGGGATGGGCCGGAGGGCAACTTTCCTCAACGCAGAAGCCGTCGCCCTCAGGTTTTTCCTCCTTCGAGCCTGTCCATCTGCTCGTGAGTCTGTCTGTCCGTTGGGGCCTACGTCCGGCAGTCAGTCCTGCACCGAGAAGGAGAATGCGCATGGCTCCACCCAGGGCAGAGGTACGGCCGGACGACCCCTCCTCTTTCACCCTCTCCAGGAGCGCCTCTGAGTTAGTCTTCCTGGCTGCAGAGGTGGGACTGGCTGTGGGGGCGGGGAGTTGGGCAGACTGGAAACCGGGGCCTGGGAACCCCTGGTCTGGCGGGGAAGGGCTGGAGTCCGGCTCCTGGGCGACCCCTTCCAGAGCTCCCGCTGCACAGTCGCCCTGTGGCAGCCCCGACAGGCCACGACACAAGTCCCTCGACACAAGTCCCATTATATTGTATTTATGTTTCACTTTATTGTTTTTTCCCTCTCTTATTGTCTTACTCTGGGGGAGGCAAAGGATATAATATATTCATCTTTATTATACCAAATCTGTGTGAAGCATTTAATAAAACGCTGTTTCCACACAGCCAGGGATATTAGTGTGAGCTCTTCTTAAGTTAATGCTCGGGTACTGCGGGCGCCTCCGCCACAGCGCCTGCTGCTGGCGGGCCTGGGGAAGCGCAGGCCCCGGCGGCACGCCCCGCCCTCTCGGAGGCCGGAGTCCTAACCGCTCAGACCTCGGGTCCCTCGGTGACCCTCGCGCCCCAGCCTGGGAGGAGGGGCCGGGAGGGCTGAGTTCGGTTTCCCCGCCGCCCTCTGCCCTGCGTTTCTAACCCGCTGTGGGCCTCGGCTTGTGCCTGTGAACACGGGGAGAAGAATTCTAGAGCCGCTTTCCGCTCAGGGCTCTTTCTTGGAAGAGGCCGTGGGGGCGGACAGGGCTTTATAAACAGGGAAGGAAAAAGCAAAGATTTGCTGGGATGGGGTCCACGAGGGCCAGAAACAAGGACGCCACCAGAGGGGGCCTAGGCAACATAGACCCCCAAGCTGGACCCCAGCCTAGACTGGGGAGCAAAGCGTAACTCCAGCTTGAGCAGAGCCCAGAAGGTTTCAGCAGGCCTGGGCCTCCCCCAGCGGATACGGCGACTGCAGTTTCATAAGGATCTTGGCCTGTCTCCGTAGGCCCTCCTATGGACCTCCCTGTAGGCAGGCAAACGGTCTTTGTAGTCCTGTTTACAGCCAGCAAATTGAGCCTCAGAAAGGTCAAGTGGCTTGTTTGAAGCGACTCAGCTGGGAAGTAGCACAGCAGATCATAGTGTATCCAGACTGATTCCCTTTCTCCCCCAGCCCTCCTCCCGACCTTCCCCCTCAACACCCACTCCCACCCCCATCCTCCAGGCTTTTCCACGGCCTATAAGCTTTACATTCTGCTTTTTAAAAAAAAGTTTTTATTGATTTTCAGAGAAAAGAAGGGAGAGGGAGAGAGAAAAACATCAATGATGAGAGAGTCATTGATCGACTGCCTCCTGCACAACCCCTACTAGGGATCCAGCCCACAACCTGGGCATGTGTCCTGACCGGAATCGAACTGTGACCTCCTGGTTCATAGGTTGATGCTCAACCACTGAGCTATACTGGCCAGGCTACATTCTGCTTTCTACACACTCAGGTGGGCATGCGGGTACATACACACACACCACACACCTCTATCTGGAGATGCCAGTGAGGAGAGTTACATGACTTTTCATGTCTAGGCCCACTGCCCAATGTCCTTTAGAAAAGCCACTGCCTGGGTTCTTGCAGGGCCCTGATTTGGGCAAACCAGCCTTACTTTGGCCCTTGTACCACCAGTGCTTTGGGGAGAGTTGGGAGCAACTCCCCCAGGCTAGAAGGAGGTGTACAGGAAAGGATTGGAGAGGACAGGTAAGTCCCCCTAGTTAGAGCTAACACCCTACCATAATTCTCAGTCCTCCTCTGCCCTCACACCCCATCCTTGGGCACTGTACCAGGTCACCCCACAACCTGTAGGCTGCTGGTGTGAGCTTCTTTGGAGGCTAAGGATATTTAATAAATCTGAAAGCTCCTACCTGGGGCTGGCTTGGCGAGGAGGGTACAGACTCACTGTGTGGCAGGGCTGGGACTAGGGTGAGGCAAGGGAAGTGCCTAGGACACACAGTTTAAAAAGATACTTGCTCTTAGTGTGGTGTACGACCACTTAAATTTTGCGCTTAGGCATCTATTTCACAGCTCTGCTGTGTGGTCCCAGCGGTGGAATCACCACAGTTGCCAAGCAGGGATAGAGAGGTTGGTTTCAGCTTATCCTTGTGAGTGGCTTTCTGAAGGGCAGAATGTAAACAATGGAAGGAGCTGCCTTGTGTGGGAGTGAGCTCCCCCAACAGGTGGAGTATGCTTAGAGCCTGCTGAGAAGGCTAATAATCAGGGTCTTATTGCCATTATTACCATCTTCATCATTTTACTATCACCTACTTTATGCCAAGTAAGAGCTTTACCCACATTATGTCATGTAAATGTATGTAAGTATGTTTGGCAGAGGATGGGATATTAGTTTCTTACTTTCTGAGTCCTTTCCAGCTCTAAGGGTCTATTGTTGCATGAGACAAAGGGCACTTTTGTTGATTTGGGGTGGTTTATTGCACTATAGTTATTATTTGGACTTGTTTAGTGGCCTTTACTTATGGTTAAGTCTTTGAGGACAGGAAGTGTGTCTAATCTCATTTTTTTACTCTTCCCACTCCTCTTCCACGCCCCACATAGGACTAAGCACATAGCACATGCTTAATAAATGTGTATTAAACAAACACATGAGTAATCAAATACTCTGTCTACCTGGCCATCTGCTTTCCAGGCTGTGACCAGCAGAGCCATTAGGGTGGCCTTTGGGAAAGCCAGTTTCACCTCTGCACATTGACTCCCTTCCCACACAGTTGAGCTAAGTTCAGGCTGACACTTCTAGAGTCTCCTCCCACATGTGCTCTCAGCCCTATTCTAGCCTGTGGGTAAGACAAAGGCCAGCCCAGTTTCCACCTGTGCAGAAGGCGCTCAAGTCTCAGACTGGACATACTCACGAGAAACCATTCAGGAAGGAGCCCTGTAGCCAGAGAAGGCTGCCTTGCAGAGCTGGGACTACAGCTAGGCCTTGAAGGATGGGAAGGACTGAGAGGTTGGAGAAAAGAAATAGAGTATTCCAGGTTGGAGTGAGAGGGGGCAGCAAGAGCAAAGGGGCAGAGACAAGACTGCTCACACAGTTTTGGGACACAGGTAGGCTGGCCTGGCTAGAGAACCAGAGGAAGATAATTAGGAAAAGACATTTGTGGAATGCCTTGACTGTCCAGGCCTGAGCCAGAGACCAGAAATTTGGATTCAGAAATCAGGTTCCACATCCTAGGGCCCAAAAACCAGAATCTAGAACTCAGTACTGAAGGCCAAAGTCCAGAACCCAGCCTTATCCAAAGTTATCCTTTCGGTTGGTGTAAGGTGCTACCATGGGAGCTCCAAACTCAAGGTGCGTGAGCTTATTGGGTAACAAGATGGACTCTTCCAATTGGCTTAGCCCAGGAAATCCAAGGCCTGGCATGAGCCCAGAGCCAACCTAGCCCACCTGAAGCCTGCATCCCAGGACTAGCATGATCAGCTGTCCAGGTATCCCCAAATCAGAACCTGAAGTCTGGCATAATCTGCACCCCAGGCACCCGGAGCTGGGGCAGGAGTTCCCTACCAATATACAACCTCCCCGCAATCCTTTCCTTCACCCTCTGATACAGGTGAGATCTAGGCTTCTAGGCTAGACTCAGCTGGGCTAAACCACAGGGGGGTGGAGCCGTTGTGCCTGTGGTGGTGCCAACCCAGCCAGCGTGTAGGCGTTGCTGTGCCGGCCTGTCGCGGAGTGCAATCCTGCCAAGGAGCCAGAGCGCTGTGCCGCGTGGAGGGTGTCAGGGGTGGTATTGTCGGCGCACAAATGCTCAACTTTATGTACTTTTAACTAGAGGTGTAACAGATGGCCCCGTTTCTGTCCAAGCCAGGGAGACTGGTGCCCATTCTGGCTGCAGCCAATCAATCCCGCCACTCTGGGGGGAGCTACAAGCTGGGCTGGGAGGCCTGGAGCCAGCAATCGCGCAAGGCTGTCTGCTTGGGCTGGCCCAGCACTGCCTCTGCCAGCCGCTCAGCTATGGGCCCAAGGAGGTAGGAGGGCAGGCAAGTGGCAGGCTTGCCCAGCAACCTAGTCAGAGGCCTGTCTGGGAAAGAGAGCCTGGAACTACCCATCAGGACCCAAATGGCCAATGAGGACATTCAAGGCCCTAACCCACCCCACTTTGTCCTTTTTCCTGTGGTTCCTGCTCAGTACCTAAGCCCTAAATCTCTAGCTTCAAAATCCATAACCCTGCAGTGTCCTGCATGGTGGACATCAGATACTGTTCAGGACTGGGGGTGAGTAGTGGTGCCTTTGGGAGAAATAGCCACAGGACCACAGAAGGCTTTTAAAAATGCCTAAGACAGCCAGAGAAGAAGAGAAAAGAGCAAGATCCAAGGATCCCAGAGCTGGGAGAAACAACTAATCTAGTGATACATTCATATAGTCACTCAACAGACACTTAGTGAAAGCCTACTATGTGCCAAGTCCTTTGCCTAGCCCTGGGATCACAGTGATGAATAGGAACTAATTCCTGTCCCTGGGACCTTTTCAGGGAAAGAGACAAATACACAAGTAATTGGTGTGTTGAGCTAGGGCTCATAAAAATCTTCACAAGGGCTGTGGAAGCACAGAGCAAGAGCATTTAACCCTGCCTGGGAGTCCCAGGAAGATTCTAGCAGGGGTTGGCTCTGAGCTGGGTGTTAAAGACCAGTAGAAGTTTTTCATTGGAGGTGATGAAGGGCACCCGAAGGGAAGGGATGGGATGTACAAAGACATAGTAAGACAGAGCACAGTAAAGGTAAGGGCCTGAAAAGATGTGAATATGGCTGAAGTTTTGGATATGCATGAAGGAGTGGAGAGGCGAGACTGGACGGGGGAAGAAGGTGGGCCTGGTAGGTGATGCCTTGGCCCCATTTTAGCATCTGACCCCACAGATCTCTTTCCTCAGTTGTCTGTCCTGTGGCCCTATTGCCCCTCACCCTGGGGTCAGAGGGAGTAAAGAAAAAGAGAGGCAAGGCCTAGCAGTATGTGGGCAAGGCCAGAACTCAGGGAGGGGAGCCTGTAGCATCAGTTCTTCAGAGTGATCCTAGT